TTGAATCAGTTAATAAAATTTGACCATTTTAACTATTTATTTTAATATTTTAGGTCCCACAATTTATAAATAATATCATTGTAAACCTTTATTTTAGCGGGTACTCAACATTACCAATTTACTACTGTTTCTCTATTCTTACGTATTTCTATAAATGTTTTTTCTAAAAAAAATTGATACCTCTTCGCTCACATCTAATTTCTGACTCCATTAATAGCTGTCATGTCCTGATGTCTAGAGGGGATTACAAGGACCCATTTCACGCGGCGCTGAGCTCTGGGCTCTCACCGCCTAGTCTACAGTGTCTAATGCTGATAAAAAATTGTACATTCTCACCCACTTAATAATTGTACGTTCATTCCCGTGCTCCGAAACTCTGCAACTAGGGTTTCGGTGACGGCGGGCCTCTCACTTCGGTGCCCCTCCTTGTTTTTGCAAGGCCTCCTTCCTCTTTCTTTTTCCTGGTTTTCTACCTCTCCATTCCATGGATCAAACTCGTATTTTGGCCTGGAACTGTCGAGGTCTTGGAGATACTTCTGCGATTTCAGAGTTGAAGAAATTCTGTTTCCAACATAAGCCCAGCATCATCTTCCTCTCCGAAACTAAGCGCACAGCGGTGGAGATGACCTCGATCCGCCCAGATCTAGGGTTGGATCACGTTTCTGTGTGCAATTATGCAGAGAGAAGGGGCGGCTTGACCCTGCTTTGGAGTGAGGAGAGTAATCTTCAAGTTTCCTCTTTCTCGCCATTGATAGATCTAGGGCTGGTTTTGCTGTTCTGCAGGCAATTGTGCATAGAGAAACCATCACACATCGATGTTGTAATTGTAGATCCCGGTGGTTGTCAACGGCCATCAACAGGGTATTCTGGCCAACCAGAGATGGTTTCTCCTATGCCTCGACGATGTTTAGGCGATTTCAAGGATTTTTTTAGCAAATCGGCAAAGGAGAAGGGCTTTCTCAGATTCCAGTTGGTTTCTGCGGGAGGGGCCAAAAGGGGAGAATGCCGATGGAGGTTGATTGGAGATGTCGGAGGTGTTCTGCAAGGGGAGGATGCCACTTTAATCTCAAAAGGGGCTCTAGTTCCCTTATTGAAATTTGGCAACAAAGGCTTGCAAAGGATTGGAATAGTTAGGATCATGGTTGGGAGCCCATGGCAACGAGGGAGGTGCCTGGGTTTGCATGGAGGGGCTTTAGTTCCCTCCTGTTAATTGAAACTGTTTTAGGGACGACATATAGTGGGCTGGGGACTGCTGATGTCGAATTTTCCTGCTCTCCCCATGAAGCTGGCTAAATAGATGAGGACGTTCAGTAGTTTCAGACACTCATAGCGACCTCCTTTTCTACTTTTGTAGCCTTATTTTTGCCCTTACAGTTATTGTAGTTACAATCCTTAGTCATAGATGGCCCTCTTCACTTAATTGTCCACATTCGTCATATGTATAGTTTAAATTTGTTATTTATGCTGTAGGTTATGCTTCGGTTTTTAGCTAGGATATAGTGCCCTGCATTGAGATTAAGCTGTAATCTCCTTTTCATTTAATATAAATCTTTATTTTCTATCAAAAAAAAAAATAATTGTACGTTCATACAGTGACATACTGATATTTTCTGTCTTTTATGGGCTAATAATTGCTTTTTCAGAATTGTTTTTCCGGACTTCTGCATAAAGTTGTTTCCTGCTTAGCTTTGCTGGAAGGCAGGCAATTCCACTAGCATTTGAAAACGTGGGTATGCTATTGGTAAATGGCAACTGGCGAGAGATAAAGGAATCCGAGGCAGAGAAAAATATCTGAGGAGAGAAACAATTAAAGTAAAAAAATCACGACATATTATAATGACAATTGGGGCCAAGATACATGTGTTTGCTTTTGTCAATGGTGAAAATTCCAATTCATGGGAAAGACTTGGTGGCACTCATGTTTCTCATTCTTTTGAGTTGGAGTCCAAGGTAAAAGGCAAGTTTTATGTGCACCTGCTCGCATTACATCCTGGACACCAACAAAGGCAGCATTGCAGGTGACATATTCAAATGATATTCTGTCATTCGATCCAGATCCTTGCCGATGGACCTATAGAGAACAAGTTTGAATGGGCAAAGGCACTTTTAGCAAAATAAGGATTAAAAATGAGTTTAAACCTTTTGTATTTCATGAGTTGTCC